CGCTGGACCAGGTGTGGACCGACTGTTATCAGGGCTAGAAACAAGGCCTGGTCAAACGCTGTGCCAAGCCAGGACCAGGGCTGAATCAAACGTGGACCCACGGCTCGGTCAGGCTGGCTCAAGGCCGAACCGAATCTGAACCAAGGCTGGGCAAGGGCGTCGGTCGAAGGGCCTCGATCGACTGGTCCAAGGGCTGAACCAGGGCGGATCAAGGCTGGATTGAGCCTAGAAGATGCCTGGATCAAGACCAAGGCTGGGCAAGGGCTTCGGTCCACTGGACCTGGGGCCTCGATCGACTGGTCCTAGGGCTGAACCAGGCCGGATCAGGGTTGGATCGAACCTAGAAGCATGCCTGGATCAAGGCCGAAGCTAATCTGAACCAAGGCTGGGCAAGGGCTTCGATCGACTGGACCAAGGGCCTCGATCAACTGGTCCAAGGGCTGAACCAGGTCGGATTCAGGCTGGATCGAGTGTGGAAGCATGCGTGGACAATGGCCGAATCAGAATGTACCAACGCTGCATCAGGCCTGTGGATCAAGGCTGCACAGAGTCTGGACTTGGGCTGGGCCTGGAATGGACCTGGGCTTCCTACAGACTGGACCAAGGTGTGAATCTGGCCTGCGTCAAGACTGAACCGAGCTGGACCAAGGCCGAACCGAGCTTGGACAAAACCGAACCGACCTTGGACCAAGGCTGAATTGCCGCCGAACCGAGCTTGAACCAAGGCTGAACCGAGCCTGGACCAAGGCTGAACTGAGCTGGTCCAAGGCTGAACCGAGCCTGTACCAAGGCTGAAACTGAGCTTGGACCAACCGAGCCTGGAGCAAGGCTGATTGACGCTTGGGCCGAGGGTTTTGCAGACTAAGCCTGACTATGGCTGCACCAGGCGTTTCGGTGTTTTCCAAGCCCTCTCATGGTCTTCTATTGACCGAACAGAGTGTGAGAATTAGTGTTACAACCAACTTACATTTTGATAATAATCTTCCCTCCCTTTCTCCTGGAGCCAAGGTCCTCCCCTCGTAGAATGCAGGCACGTGGAAGCTTGACGCTGTGCTTCGATTACTTCAGACATGCAGTGGGAATCACATCTGACGACTCCTGTTTTGGGCACCGAAGCCCAGCTGTGAGACGTGGGGCCTTGTGCTTGGGACCTTGTAACTATTCAAAAACACACACGCAGAGATCAATGATGATTCTAAACTCTCTCTCTCTCTCTCTCTCTCTCTCTCTCTCTCTCCGCGTCTGTGACTTTACACATGCACTTGGAATCACATCCAACAACTTCACTCTCGTTTCGGGCATGTGAAGCCTGGCTGTTAGCCGTGGGACCTTGTGACTGACAAAACGGTCGGTGCAAACAGGACTCGACAAAATAGCCTCAGCTGAGCTCGTGGTGTAACAGTTGCCCCGAAGAACCACTCTCCTCATTACCAAGGGGATGAGTAAAAAGAGAAAACTCTCCCGATGGGTGTCAAACGACTGGCCATGCTATCTCGATCACCATGGTTGGTGGTGAGAGCTACCATTCTGTTCTTCTGTCCGAGACGGGCAGTCTCCAGTAAGGTTCGGGACTCCCAGAGTCGGTGCAAACACGGCTCAACAAAATAGCCTCAGCTGAGCTAGTGGTTTAACGGATGCCCTGAAGAACCAGTCTCCTCATTACCAAGGGAGAGTGTACCAACCAGTTTCCGAACTTCCATCGAGAGAGAGAGAGAGAGAGAGAGAGAGAGAGAGAGAGAGAGAGAGAGAGAGAAATCCCTCTTTGTTGTGTGTTTGTCACAGCACAAGGTCCCAACCACAAGGCCGCACTGTTAACACGCCCGAAACGAGAGTCAAGATGTCAGATGTGATTCCCAGTGCATGTCTGAACTCTGAGAGACAGGGACAGAGAGGGAGAGAGTGAGGGAGGGAGAGGGAGTTCGTAGTCCTTGTTTCTTTTGTGTACAAAAAAAAAAAAAAAAGACAAAATACGCACAAAAAAAACAAGGACTACGAACTCCCTCTCCCTCCCTCACTCGCTCTCTCTCTGTCCCTGTCTCTCAGAGTTCAGACCTGCACTGGGAATCACATTTGACATCTTGACCTCGTTTTGGGCATGTTAACAGTGCGGCCTTGTGGTTGGGACCTTGTGCTGACAAACACACAGCAAAGAGGGATTTCTCTCTCTCTCTCTCTCTCTCTCTCTCTCTCTCTCTCTCTGTTATGACCCGGACCAATTGCGAAGTACAAATTCACCAATAAAGCACAATGTTGCCCAATTGCAAAAGAAATGAATGAACCTGAGAGGATTGAGAGGATAAGAAGAAGAAGAAGTAGTAGTAAGAAGGAAGAAGATGAAGTACACCAGCAAAGAACCAATGTCAAAGCACTTCTCCTTCGCTCAACTTCTCAACTCCATATGTCCCCCTCTCTTATATTCAAACAAGAATTATTGCAACAATGCTGACCAGCTGATCCAGAATCAAAGTCCAAGGTCCTCTTCTACAGCTGACTACTATTG